AACGAATGTTAGTCTCATTAAGCTAGTAGCTCTGTCAATAATTTTAAAAATATTTATATAATTTTAAAAATTATATATTTATTGATATAGGTACATGCGCAAAGCGCGTATCCTAAGACTAGTATATTATAAATAACAGAACTTATAAGAGTAATACTTTTATATAGTTCTCAAATACGTAAACTTTATTCTAAAACTAAGGAATTAAGACCTGAATTAATATCAACACAACGATTCCCCTATTTCAGACTTCGTCATTCTTTTTGGAGGAGGGGGCATCTCTTTTAGGAAGGCAAATAATATTACACTAGGAGCTAGCGAAAAATATTTATACTAATATTTACATCAAGCAAATAAATACAATACATGATACATGTATTGTATATGAACTCGCATGGTTAAGTGATATATACTCTTATTTTAATTTGTAATTTTTAGGAGTAATTAAATCGTTGTGGGTTGAGTGGGGGCTTATATGCCGACAGTTGGCTCCAGCTAGCTGGTTCTGACTTTACAGTTTACACTGTTCCAGACCAGACAGTGAGTCAACGAAACTAATGATAAGTTGGAGATAAATCTTTTTAGTATAATACTATTACTATACTCTCTCTTTCTCTAACAAAGTAGTAGACCGATTAGAAGTGAAACAAAGAAACTGCTTAGATATAACTGCAGGTGGTACTGAAATATAGGGGAAGATAAAGTATACGGTCCGTACCTAAAGAGGGAGGAAAGTCTCTCCTTTGTAGAGTTTGTTTTGTTACTAGACTAGACCAACAAAATGAAAAAGAAAAAGAATAGAAAAGAGATAGCAAAAGCTTCTTTTAGATTTCTGTGGACGTTCTCTTTTGTTACCTTACCCTCTAACTCCCTCCATTGCCAGAGGTATCATCGATCATCAACACTAATTAAACCACAACCCAATATAATTTTACTAGTGGGGTTTAGGGAGGGTAGTATATATGCAGACCTTACTCCTACCCTGGGGTAGAGAGGCTGTTTCCGATATACCTTCGGCTCCCTCCCTCCAAAAACTCATCACCTTACTCTTGGGATGACTCGAACTTACAACCTCTTGATTAGAAGTGGAGGATGCTTATCACTAGAGCAACTCAATCTTGTCATCAACACTAATTAAGTGCTGATGAAATCCTCTTGTTCAGTATTAAAAATAAACAAACTTCTCGTTTTTTCCTTAAATATATGACGTTTTTCATTTTGGAGGATGAATTAGATTTGTTTTTATAAGGCTGATCGAACAAAAGATTTTCTCAGCTATAATATTAGTAAAGTTCTTAATTTAATAATATATTTTTGAATTCGGCATAATCCAATACTTTCAAAGTCAAACTTCTTTATTTGTAAGTGCCGAAAACAAACGAACATAGATAGATAAATTAAATATATATTTTAGAATTCACTTTCAAAATCTACTATATCTAATCTTTTTACTACGTACTACTATTTATTACGTGTGCTTAAAGAGAAAATACTACTCCCAATAAGTGGAGAAAGATACATAGCAAGAATGGAATAGGGGAAAGAGGTGTCAGTAACATATTGGGAAAGAGATGACTGATGAGACAGTACTGAAGCACGTGACATGCACGACTAAAAGGATACAACAATTTCTTTTCTTTTCTTTTGGGGAAAGGATTTTGGGGGATGTGCTGATCCCTAAGCAAAAATGCTCGGCACGTGCAACCCCCATGTGCATCCTTTTCTTTTTAATTTTAAATTTAAATTTAAATAGCCGAATTCTTAAATCACATATTGCGACTTTGGATACTCTATAATATTCCGTCCTTGAAGGGCGGATTCTGCATTCTACATTTTCTTTGTAAAAAAAAGAAATTAGTATTAAAATATTAATTGTCCTCAATCCGCGCCTCCACTACCTAATCTGTGTTACCAAGTAAATGAGTTCAATACTACTCTCCTTACTAACTTAAAATTTAAAATTTTATTATTAATAAATGTTAAGAAAGTAAAAGAAGTACTACAATTGTTTCTGTAATTGCTATAATTGCTTGCTTGTGAATTATTCAGTAACCGAATACTTCGTAGCAAGCATCTGTATTCAATAATTCAGCGCCCATATTATGTGTTCGAGGTGCTAGATTTTCAAAAATTCAAGCAGAATTTTCTATTACTTTCATTCTCCTATAATAAACTTTAATCTTCAAAAAAAAAAAATGTTCACTGAATAGTGTTGTCATTGTAATTTGTAAAATCATTTTTCTCGGTACAAAGTTACAGAGCAACAATTAGAAACTACAACCCTTTGTCTGTCTTTTATCATTCATAATAGGAACTACAACATATTAGTTCGAATATCAAAGATTTCATGCTCACTTTCCCTACTTTTGTTTGACTATATGATCAGAAAAATATAATAATTTAAGTTGGTGTTTTAGTGAAGCTCGTTGTAAAAAGTAATTACAACTAATACTATTTAACTAGTATGGTTTAATTGTTTGTGAAAAAACGAGAATTAACATGTTATAATATGTTAAACTAGAGTGAAATATTAAGTGGTGTTTTGGTGCAGCTCATTGTAAAAAGTAATTACAAATAACTCTTTTTGATTGGTATGGTTTAATTGTATGAGAAAAATAGGAATTAACATGTTATAATATGTCAAACTATAGTGAAATATAAAAAAATTTATACTGTCAATATACATTAAGTTAAATCCATTCGTAAAACTTTTTTTGGTCTTTTCTCTGACACTTTAAGATACAAGTGGGTAAAACAGTACCACGGTATATTTTTAGGCATCACAGTTTTATTCTTCTCGATAGACTATAATGTTCGCAACATTTGATGTCATTATACTATAAAGAACAACTGAATCAGTGTTCAATTCAGGTCAGGATTTGGTTAAATTAAATAAAACTGTAAGGGTTCGGTTAAATAAAATAAAACTGCCTCCCTTACACAGTTCCTTTCAGATAATTAAAGTGCTAGGAATATGAGACATAGATGTACATACATTGCATCCCTCCTATTCTTACTGAACAAAATAATCGAAGTTATAGATCCTTTCCCTTCTTCTATCCTCCCGGTGATTGAGCCAGGATTTTCACAAAGGAATATCAAAATATAAAAAATTAAACACACAAAGCCAATGGAATTTAACATATAATATAGATGCATAAAATAAAAAAATTTACTTAACAATACAGTGTAATTTCCCGATGAAAGGTGTTAGTTGACTGACACCCCTTGATTAAACGTGGCTCCGCGCACGGATACTCCACCACAGAGCATAATGTCTAACAACGCATACGCTTATAAAGAATTTTTATATTATTGGTATATTTTAACAAGTAACAAATCTCATTTTTCAGGTAATTACTAATTTTACATAAAAAAAAATGTCATTTGTGCTCAAGTATGAGCAGAGAACACACACACAAATACCATGCGAGAGACCATACGTTAATAAGGCAGGCAAATTCACGTGTGCCCATATGGAGAAGTCATTATTTTCTGAGTTTCAAGTTGACCTTCTACTATTTAGCAAGTGCTCTAATACATAAAACAATGGCCTCTGCACAAACTTCCTCTCGTATAGAAACAAGAAAAGAAAACGAAGTGCCTATCCTTTTCTTTTTCTATTTATACAGATGGAATTGCAAGCAACACAAAGGTCAAACGAGCTTAGTTTCTCTCAACTTGACAACGAAGATTTACAGAAAGAGCAATTTTTTTCAAGAGTACTTTATCTTTGCTTTAAAGTAGAGGGCTTCAGTTTACAGCAGTAACTACCAGAGGATCCCTCCAACTCTAAGTACGCATCAATTTTACTGCAGAATAGATAGAAATAGAAAAGAAAAAAACTGCAATAGAAATATCTCTGGATAATTTAAACTAATACGTCGAGGATCGATCTCAAAAGAGTCATGGAGAACAGAATCCACAATATAACAAAAGAGGGTTCAGCTTCTTCTTATTAAGCAGCATAATACAAGAAGTTCAATTGTTTCCCTCTTATCTGATTTATTAGTGGTATTAATAATCAACGATTAACTATTTTCCTAGCTTAATTTGTAATGGTGTACAGATTTTGAAAAGAAAAAAAAAACATGTCGTATGTGTACAGAGGGTAATAAATCATCCCATGGTTCTCCATAAAATATATGAAAAAGGAAAAGAAATTTAGCGCATGATTCAAATATAACCAGTACATGATCTTCAATATACTGCAGAAAAATACTAAAGGCAAAATGCATAACCACTGGCTATGTAGAGAAGTAAAACACATGATACAGAGAAAAACTCATCGACAACAACGGATGTTGCTTCTTTTTTCCTGATAACTTAGTTACTATCCTATGTTAATTATGTTACCCACACAGTTTTTATTCCTTTTTTCAACTATCCAAATTCAGAAGGAATGTGCGCTTATCATTTTTATGTTCAAAGGGTACTCATAAAAAAATAGAGACAGTTCATACCAAGCTTGATAAGAAAGAAAAGATGAATTGCAACCGCAGAATTGAGAAGTAGCATTTCACAAAATGAAATTCAACTGTGCCATTATAATGAACCCAAATATTGAACCAGTCAAGTGCTTCAAGTGTCTACCTTCAACTTCAAGAATGGCAAGAGAAAATATTCACCTCCACTACACCCC